TCGTAAGTCAATTATAGTAAGTCACAGCAATATTTAGAAAGACATATCAAACCATTGCGCCGTGTTTTTTATGAAGGCGCCGAGAACGATAACTGTATAATAAAATTTAATAAAGCTTTTCTGTACTTTTTTTTTATTAATCTAACACCTAATATTTGTTTGTAGAACTGGGATGTACCGAACATAAATTGATTTTTTAAGGGATACTTTAACTTCATTCATTTCGTTGATATTAACTCACAAGAAGCAACCAATGACTACAATACAAATAACACAAAAAACCTTTCTTTGATTATGTCCACAACCGGTTGAAGCCAATCTGTTATTACAACTAAAGGCACCTCTACCACTTTAACAATCATGACAGGCGATATAAACCCAAAGAACAATTATATTAGTTTAGCGTTCTTGATTAACACTCCGATTTCCAACGGACCGCCATCTTGCGTCAGCATAAAAATAATAAATACAGCTAATTGTAACAAAACGCTTTAATTGTACAAAAAGCCAAAAATAACTTACTTCATCAGAAAACATTTACTACAAACAAACAAAAAAGCACAAAAAATATACAAATAAATAAATGATCAATATCAATAAGGCAATCAATTCAAAAAAATTTAACTACGTCATTAAAATTACATAAAAACATATTATGAATGGGGAGCAACTCGCCGATCAGGTACTTGCTGCCTAGCCTCCATGGCCCTGTGGGATTGGTTGAGCGTGCAGCGCCTCTAAGAGATAGACGGGATGATATCGTTCCTGCTCGAGGCGGTGTCCTTTGTCTCGTTCCTGTCTAATGGCTTAAGACTGTTATTCTGGTCTGCTTTAAACTCTTTTGAAAAAAACAAATGTATACGCAAAAGTTGGTAAGAACCAAATCATCCAGGTGTAGAAAATTGTTTTGGGTGGTTTTTTCTAAATTTGTTTGTGACGGATATCTTATGTTTCCTATTTTCATTTAACTATTTTTTAGCCGACCATACCATAGGTATGGTAGACTATTAGGATCGGCCCAAAAAGTTTTTTTTTTAAAATTTTCACTCAAAATGAGATTACTTGGGTTCATAAAATGGACCTAAAATTACAAAAGTATATTTCATGGTGTCTGTTCTGTCTGTCTGTCCTTTCTGAACTGTCTGACACTGTCCCGTCTGTAAACACGAATTAAAACTCAAAAGCCGCTGGAATGATTTTAAACCAAATTTGACATCAAAAATACTGTGGCACCCGAGAATCTGGCCATTATTTTTTGGTGGGGGGTTGGGGGGTTGGTAAGGGGGTTATGGGAGGGGATTTAAAAATTTTAAAAAAATCGTAACTCCATAATTACAGTAGCTAGCGAAAACTCGGTTTTCAATTTAAGATAGGAATAATATTTGCAATCAAACTCCTATCCACATATAAAAAAGCCCAAAAGGGTTTTTTGTTGCATTCATTCCGCCGAAACCGCTTTACAATCTTGATGATTCTTTTTTTAAATGGAAAAAAAAAAAAAAAAAAAAAAATATTTGTTTATAAAATATTTTTAAATTTGTTGAATGGCTATTTCTTTTGTGTAAAATCGACTAAAATATTAAAACATACCTGAAAAAACACCTACACACAATACCTCCAGAAAAATTAATTTTTTTTGTCATTGTCAGTGGTTTGTCAGTTAGATTATATATGAAGTTTTAGATATTTTTAGGGATCAGTTTATACAGCCAGCTTTAGAATACATAAAAATACCTTAGAATGGAAAAGGTTCGGTTTAAAAACGACATTGGTGAATTAGCTACACAAAAGCGATTTTAGGAAATTCATCCTCCTAGAGGGTAAAGATTATGTCGGAACAAATTTGTTTTTTATGAAATTCCTTACTTATGTGGTCTAGAAGAATTAAATCCTAGCGAAAAAATGAATGAAGAGATTTTTGAAAATTCAGTCAACGAAATGAGTAAAGTTAGTAAGAATTTTATATAAAGCTTTGTGACCTCTGGATTATAAACATAAAAATTGAAATAAAAAAAAAAAAAAAAAAAAAATATATTTATTTGTATAAATCTATTTTATAGAATTTATAAGTCTTAGGAGAGAATAGGGAATGAAGTTTGCTGTACGAATGCATGAGAGAGAGAGATCTATGGCAGTATAAAATTTTATAGAAGGGTTTTTTTAGTGACATCAATAATATAAACGAAATATTTTTTTTTTTTTTTTATTTATATTTTATTAAAGGTACATTTTGTATTCTGAATTATCTCCTTTTTTCTAAATAAACCAAAAAAAGAGATGTAAAAAATAAAATATCAAGGGAGTTTATATTAGTACAAGCGCGCGCACAATATGAGTATTTTTCCAATAGTATATGAAAATCTTGCGATGATTTTGGTCAAAACAGATTCTTTATTTGTAGTAAAAATTTATGTATTTAAAAAAAAAAAAAAAAAAAAGTAAATTAAAAATTTATTATATATTCTTGGGGAGAGATTTTATTTTTTGCAGATTTTGTGCAAAATTTCTTTGAAGATTGCTTGGGTTTCGATTTCGATAAATATATATAAATAAGAAATAAAAAACCGGCCCTGGAAGATCTGCGCCATTCACACTCTATCAAAGCATACATAATTAGTTTAAGTCAATGGAAGTTAGTTTTTTAAACATTGAAAAAGTTGGTTAGAAAAGGCAATGGATTTCAAAAAAATATTTTGTTGGGTCAAAAATTGGGAAACTTTGTGAAATACCTTATTTCGATTAACTTCTTAGAAATTAGGTGGATTTTTGTGTTCAGACGTGGCTTCTTTAATCAAAAGTTTTATTTTTTTGGTAACGAAGTGTGTCATAAAAATCATATTACCAGGCGATAAAAACATAAAAAATCGGTTTCAAAATTTTCGAATTTTCTTAAGTACCATAATAAATTTAAAGAGAATAAAAATGGTCTTGAAATTGGCATATTGACGGCTTTTATAAATTTAAGTAACAAATATGTAATAAGTCAAAGAGATAAACATATCGATTTTGTCGAGCGGAGTTTAAATAAGTTGCGAATTTAATTAAAATGTCCTTAAGGCGGGTAAGTAGGCTAATTTTGAAACCCAGAAAACACGAAATATGAGCTTTCTTCGCGGGGAAATTTTTTTTTTTTTTGAAAATTTTTGAATTTTTTGAAAAACTTTTTGGGTTTTTTATTTTTATATTAAATTCAAGGAGGTAATAGAGAAAGAGATATATATTATATATATCTGATAATATGGCAACATAGATAGGTAAGTAGATAAATTTACAGACAGAAAACCCAGAAAGCTGCGTGGTTTCTCAAAATTTAAGGCAAAAAAATTATTTTCTGGGAAATTTTTAAGTAAGAATAACTCCAGTTAAGATTATTGGGAGGTTTATTGAAAAAAGGTGAGGGAGAAAATATGGTTTTAATCGAGATCTACCCAGCCCCTGGAAAAATTTGCACTTTATTCAACGACTTGGCCCACTGTTTAATACCCAGAACATAATTCGAACAAATTTTTGGAGTAACTTTCAAATATGAATACGAGTAGCGCGTCTTAAAAACTCCTTAGAACATAGTTTGTTTAAAAAAGGCATTGGTAGGGCTTCCACTCACGTCTTATATACAAAGTAAATCATTTAAATCAATGCATGAACTACTCGAGGTGTAACGCGAACGTAGTCGCAGGAAAAACCTAGTTTATAATAACATCAAAATCAGTCAAAGTCGCAGTTTTTGAGATATTAACATATTTTAGTATGGGCGGCTATACGTGCCTCTCAGCGCCAATTTTTTTATATGGACAGGTACATAACTTTTTAAAAATAGTAGAATAATTTATGAATATCAAGAAATGATCAAATATAATTTATTATATACGAATCAAATATTTAAAAAATAATAAAAATTAATCTACAGTAGATCTCCAGATTGTCTTTACATGAGGATTTTTTTAAATTAACATTTTGGAAAATGCATTCTTCATAAAAGTTTCGCTTTGCTTGTCCTAAAATCGTTATAATCCCGTTTACACTTTCCCAAAGTTCTTTACCGTTTTAGAGAAAAAATATAAAAATCATGAAAATGGATATACTTCTTTTCTCAAAAAGTCTCAAAAATCAAATCGGTTCCATGGTAATATCATTTTTAGGTTTTCATTCTTTGGTAGATGATTATTATTAATTTTGACTAACGTGATATTTTTTTGCTGTTTTAATATGTTATAGAAGCAGAGTATTTATTTAGCTCAATGCAACGGAAAAGGTGATTATACATTTTGTGTTTCTTTAACAAAATATTAAAACAGTAAAAACATATGAAGTTAATTAAAATTAATAATAAACATCTATAAAACAATATGGAACTTAAGATGCAATAGCATTATTAGGCCTAATTATTTTTTTCATATAATTTATTAAAATATTAGTATTAGTAAAAAGACTACAATTAATCTGATCATAATATACTTTCTAGAAAACTATGTTACCATAAACTACTTTTCTATATATATAGAAAAGTAGTCTCTTTGATCTTAAAAAAAGGAGGATGCGATGCAGAAATCAAGAGAAGACTGTGTATAGCCCGCAATTCCATCATCAAAGTTAATAAAATATGGAAAAATTCAGCCGTTTCAATTAGCAACAAACTAAGACTACTAAGAGCCCTAATTTTCCACTTATGCCTCGGAGACATCCAAACAGATCTCCAAACCGTTGGGTAGACCAAATGAAAACGATAATAGGTCATAGTCTGCACAAGGCCAGTATTGCCGCGCAAGACATAACAACATGAAGAGACACAATAATTTCGATTTTATTTCGACATAATGTCACAATACTCTCATAGAGTAATAGGAAGGAGGAGGAGGCTGTCATAGCATTGCAGAAATTTGCATGAACAGTTCCACAAAACTATTATTAATTATGCCAAGACATGACTTTAAGACGTCTTATTCAATTATGTTATTTGAATTAAATTAGTTTGCTAGAGTTAATGGATACTTACTTCTGTCAAAGTAGTTTCCTCTACACATTCACTGTCTTCCTCTCTGTTAGCAGATACAATTTCTCCACTTTGTTGGGGCACAGATACTTGCATATTCGACATATTGGTGCCGTGTTCCCTATTCCGTTTATCTTCTACTTTGTTCGCAAAGTCTTCGATTTCAGGAAATTGTGCTGTTGTTTTTCTAAAAGAATAATTATGTATTACAATGTAACTATAAATGTGAAACAAATTTTTATTGCGATTTGCATCCTTTGAATTGATAATGAGAATAATATAAAAAACGTGGTAGATGATTTAATGTTGATGAAGCAGGTATTCTCTATTATTAGAGAAGTGCCATAAAATGTTTCTCTAAATATAAATAAAGCATTTTTATTATATATAGAAGTAAATTTTGTGTTCAAAGTGAAACGTCATCTCGTAAAAATATTTTTAAAAAACACTGCAAACGTTTAGCTAATTACGTGTTTGACATCACAATTGTTCAACATCACAAAAGAACTGGTCCAAAAATAAACTAGTGCGTTCCATCAAGGAGGAAAAAAATCTACCCTCAACATTTATTTGATATCAATTAGCAATTATTTCCGACCTTTCTCCTAAGGTATGTCTATAAATAAACATAATGGACCTCCAGGGTTGTCAAAAGTATTAAACAAACGTTAAACAATTTGTCGAACCTGTTCGGTGTGCCAACAGAGAGTCCGTATAATATGTTTTGAGATTGGTTCCAAAAAGCAAAGAAAATAATTTTACACCATTCAAATGCTATACTACCTTTTTTAATTAAATTCTTTTAAAAACCAGACTTTCATAATCATAGACAGATAAGTTTAAAGGATTATTTGGATTATTTTCAGGGTAGCGGTCACTGCGGTCAGTGTCTCCAGTGTGCCACAGAATTTTATACTTATAGACCTTTATAGATTTATTACAGACTTCTGAAAAGCTTGACATTCCAAAAGCGTTATTTAGCGGTATATTACTGGTGATGCAAAACATTTGCTATGTTGTTAAATGGATAAGATTATATTATGATCATTACTAAACATGTAAAAGATAGTCGAAAACTTAATAATTTTTTAAGAAGTAGTTTAGAACAGCTCAGCCGAAAAGCGCGCAACAAGAGGCACGCCACAAAGAGGGATATTCACCTCTGCTGTGGCTGATTGTAATGAACCCGATCCTGACCTCTCTGACAATGAAAGGAATTAGGACATAACGGCATATGCAGACAACGTGGTAATACTGATCGTTGGCCAAGACTGGCAGACGATCAGTGGAATCTGCTCTGAAGAAGCTAACAGAATGGGTAAAAAGGAATGGTTTGAGTATCAACCCAGACAAAACCGAACTCATTCTGTGTACAAGAAAATACAAGATTGTAATACCTGAACGCTACCAAAGCTGGAAGGGAAGACACTTGGTGACACTAAGGAAACAAAATATTTAAGAATCATTCTGGACTCAAAGCTTTCCTGGAAAAGGAACACGAAGGAAAGGATGATAAAGGGAACCAATGCATTCTATGAATGTAAGAAACTGTTTAAAAGAAGATGGGGTCTGCAGCCGTACATTATACAATGAATGTACACTGCTATAGTTAGATCAATCATTACCTATGGATCACTAGTATGGTGGGAAGCGGTACTTAAAGAAAGTAATAGAGAAAGTCTCACAAAAGTACAGCCACTAGCAGCTCTAGGTACAACTGGAGCAAGGAACAACACAGCGCAAGCTGCTCTAGAAGTAATTCTGGCCTTACAATCAATCGACTGGCTCGTGAAGGATCTGGTCTCAAAGGGTGCCCTAAGATTATAGGAATCCAATCTGTGGAACCAGACCAACTACGGTCACTCCAGGATATTGCCAGTGATAGGGAAAATCATGGCAAACACGAGTCTATATCTGCTAGACCAGAAAACGCGCTACAGCTCGAAGACTGTGGCCAGTGGTAGATAGCATAAAGACGAAACAACTACTAGAACACAAAGAACCTAGTGCTCATAATTGTAACTGTCATCACTGGAAAATGCCCCACGGGAGTAAACCTCGTGAGATGGAAGATTTCCAACGACGACTACTGCTGAGAATGTGGAGAGGAAGAGGAAACCATAGAGCACCCTGCTGTGCCACTGTCTGCCACTGGAATACCGACGCTTTAAAACTTTAGGGCAAGGTTTTTTGGAGCGACTAGAGGAAGCAGTAGAAGCCAACCTCAGCGACATCGGGAACTTTGCAAAGAGCTGGAATTGCTTTCACCCAAAGAAATAATGAGAGGAAGGTTTAGTACAATAATACAGGGGTATAGCAATGGTCCCAAGGCCTCCGAGTGAGGAATCAGTCATGATCCCAAACCTCAGCGACCTAACCTAACCTTCCTAGATGAAGTCTAATTAAGAATAGTTACCTTATTAATAGTTTAAGAATAGTTATATTATACCATGTTGAATTTGAGGTACCAATGACCGTCTTCAAATTTCGGACAATCTGTATATTATTCTTACATGTCATATTATTATAATATAAATGTATTCATGTTTATTAATGATCTGTCACAACAAATCGTATTTTTTATGCAATCGTTTGGCCCAGATAACCAGAAGTCGACCCAACATTGCCACGGATACAAAACTAAAATTAACTATTTTTTTCAGGCTATAAGACCAGCTTAAAAAAATTAAATATACATATTGTCCACGTCGGGTATCTGGCTAGTGTCCAAGCATCGGTTCAGCTGGACTCATAAATAAAATCGGCCGATTTTAATTTTGAAGTTGCTGCAAGGTTTGCGTAGTAAATAAGAAGACATATTATCTTCGTATTGGATATTCTGGAACTTTCGTGTAACATCGCGATGGTTTTCAACGGCATTTGTAAATATTAACAGCTGCATTTATTTTCATTATAAGCAGATATTCTATAAATATATAAATACGGCCGAATACTATGTTCTTCTATAGTGTGGTCAAAAAATCTTTAGAATAATGGACAAAGTCACCAGGACAAACAGTTAAAAAGTTCATACTAAAAGAAATGATGATATTCAAAGACAAGCTAACTATTAAAACAGTAGTTGGTTTCCTAGCAGTGCACTGCAAGCTCAATACGAATCTAAAGTTGATAGGATTGGTTGATGAAGCCATGTGCAAATTTCGTCAATCAATAAACAAAATGGCAGGACACATTTTATGGCAATGCAAAGGTGTCTCTAAGTTATCAGAATTTTTGAAAAGGATATGACTAAAGAATATAACCTAAAGATGAGAAAAGAATCACAATATACATATAAAGGTCACAGTGGAACAGGCCAATAACCACTTCTAGTGATGAACAAATGGACTCTTTTGGTATTGGTCTTGGTCATGGGTCTTACTTCAAGACTCGTGTTTTAATAGATGTTTACTAGATGCACTTTTTACATAAAAAGAATCTCGCTCATCACGAGCCACCTCAAAAAATATAATCGTAGAGATCGCCGTCTTTTGAGTACTGAGACTGCAAGCACAGCCGCAGGAGAACTTTATCTCAATTTTCTGCTGACAAGAGGAATGATCTATCTATTACTAGAATTTTGACCGGTCTAATGAAATCGTAAGTCAATTATAGTAAGTCACAGCAATATTTAGAAAGACATATCAAACCATTGCGCCGTGTTTTTTATGAAGGCGCCGAGAACGATAACTGTATAATAAAATTTAATAACTTTTCTGTACTTTTTTTTTAATTATCTACACCTAATATTTGTTTGTAGAACTGGGATGTACCGAACATAAATTGATTTTTTAAGGGATACTTTAACTTCATTCATTTCGTTGATATTAACTCACAAGAAGCAACCAAAGATCTACAATAAAATAACACAAAAACTTTCTTTGATTATGTCCACAACCGGTTGAAGCCAATCTGTTATTACAACTAAAGGCACCTCTACCACTTTAACAATCATGACAGGCGATATAAACCCAAGAACAATTAAATTAGTTTACCGTTCTTGATATAAACCGATTCCAAACGGCCGCCATCTTGCGTCCAAAATAATAAATAAGCTAATTGTACAAAACGCTTTAATTGTACAAAAAGCCAAAATAACTTCATCGACAAAGCATTTACAAAACAAACAAAAGCACAAAAAATATACAAATAATAAAAAATATCATACAATACAAATCAATTCAAAAAAATTTACGTCATTAAAATTACAAATAAAACATACATGGACATTGCAGAACACAAAAAAAGCGTATCAATAAAATTTTACAATAGAGAAATTGTAAATGGATGTAATCATGTAAGAGTTATAAAATATTAAATATTAAATACTAGACCTTTAACCAGTGTGTGAGATGATCAAAATTTTAAAATTCAAAATTGTTCATGATTTCAACAAAAAAGTCGTTTACCGCATATAGGGCTCTCTCCAGTAAGTATGATTTGAGAGCTTTGCGAAATGCGGGAAAGAATGAAAGCCACTTGATATTCAAAGGCAGATGATTGTACATTTTTTTGGCATTGTACAGTATTGAGCCTTTAACTAGTTCTGAGCTCGGGGTTGGCAGATGAAGATCGTGCTCCGCATTCCTAAGTGGATAGTTGTGAGATGGCCTTTCGGGAATAAACGGATTCAAAAATGAATAAGGAAGTAATTGTAAAGTAATACTGTAAAGCCAGTATTTTGATTTTTCTAAAAAAATTCTGGCAGTGAGTTCTACTGTTCAGTCCCAATAAATATCAAAGTGCTTGCTCTCTTTTGAAGTTTGAAAATACGATCAAATTTTGTTGCGCACCAAGTACCCCAGAATGGAAGGGCATAACGAAGATGTGACTCAAAAAGGGCATAATAGGCTATTCTAGAGATTGATAAGTTAAGTTCCTTAGAAACTGATCTTAGCGCAAAACAGGCAGCGCTTAGTTTCTTTGATAAAGCTTCGATGTGCAAGTCCCATTTTAACGAGTTGTCTACAAGTCCTAAAAATTTCACATAGTCCACGACGTCAATAATGGTGTTATTAAGTACAAAAGGTTATGTAGTACTTTTATATGACAAAACTTTAGTTTTTGATAGATTGAGGCATAGGAAATATATCATACCACCCTAGTTTAACTACTCATTATAAGGTATAGTTAATAATAAAATATAATTATTTATGTCAAATGAGTCAATGTTTATTTTTCGATATTTATGATTAGACCTCATATAGCAAATACATCTAGGCTTAATTAACTGTATTGGCTCAATGCTCAATACCGTCTAAAAAATGTATCACTGAACTTTAGAACAAAACAAGTGGCGCAATAACATTCTCTGAATTGAATTTAAAACATCCCAAAATAACTGATGTAATTCATTTTTATATATTGTTGGCCAACAACTTTCATACTTCACACACAAATCAAATTATATTAGCAACAAATGTTTAATGTATACGTTGATTTAATTTTAACTGTAATAAATTTAAATATTATGCGTTTATAAAACTGTCTTTGGAATATTGAAATATGAAAGCGCAACATGAGTTTTTATATTGAAATTTGGTAACGAAGATGAATTTATGTAGAACACCACATTTTTGATCACATATCGTTTTACCTTTCACTAAAATTTGCTCTATCCACTATAAAGCATCCGAGGACAGCTATAAGAGAATATTTAATATTGTTACTGTAAAAAGAAAATACAAATAATTAATTTTTAATCTACATTTTCCTGTGATGGGTTTATATTGCATGGGTTTGGGTTTTGCATTGCGTGTATGGATTTATATTTAATATTTACATAATTTTCTAAATTATATAGAAGTTCAAAAAATGATTATATTACAAAAATATTTGTATGAGAAAATAAAAAAAATACTTTTAGCATTTAGTTACTAGATTAATATATAATTATCATAACATCGCACTGTTGGTATAAATCTGCAAAAAAATTAAATGCAGACTATATTTAAAAAAAAATATTCTAAAAAATAGTATATACTTAAAAAATATACTTCAAACCATGTTGTAATGTTTCATAGATAATTTGGATTTAGTAATTTTATTTTGATAAGAATTTATAAAAAACTATTGTTATGGCGGATTCAAAATTGAAATCCAACTGAATGCAAAAAAATTAGCAAACATAAAATAAATTAAAAAAAAACATAATAACAATTATTGTCTATAATATATTTCGAGTAAATATAACAAAATTTAAAAAGTTTAACAAAAAATTTTTTTAAATAAAAATTTGTAAAATTGAGTTTGGAATAAAAAGAATATATTGATGCATGAGGTTCAGTTCAAAGACTAACTACTAAAACCCAAACTAACTAAACCAACACCAAAAAATACTGCAATATTTGAGTAATATCTTCACTAACATAAATTACTTAAAATTAAAAATTACTGTTAGTCAAAGCTAGATTAGCCAAAAATAATTTAATTTCAAAATTTATAGTTTATTCACTAAACTATTCTAAACTTTAATCTTACATTAAGATACCAATCTACCAATCTGTCATTTTTATTAATTTTCTTTGCACATCAAATATTTTTCATAGATATTATTTGTGCCTAATTTTCACCAAAAATATTTTCAAGTATTTTTATTTATTTTCATTTGCTACAACTTTGTCACTGACCCGATCTAATTATTTCCATGTCATGCCATAAATAATTAAAATCGCATAAACAAAACAATAAAACATTAGCTATTTTATGTTTACACAAAACTGTTATAAGTAAATTGTATTTAGTAGTGTGAATTCTAAATTTACCATCTCAATTTCAATTTGGAATTTTAAGATTATGTTTTGGTGCCAGAAAAATACATTATTCCAACATATTCACGGACTACTAAGCAATAATCCGCATTTTATGATGCTATTAAAACAGAACCGTTACACCGACGTGCTTAAAATTGATCTAAATCTTGAAACTATAAAACCGTAATAGACGTTAAGGACTCATTATTGACTGAGAAATTTATTTTAACATTTATGCTCAGCAGATGACACTCACCCTTCGATAGCATTTTTCGGGTAGTAAAGATACCGGAAAAACAACAGCCAGAAATAATTCAACCAGTCACCAATCATCGTTGTTTATCTAAAACAAACTATAAATCCAGGAAGGAGAAGAAGTAAAATGAACTGAGCTAAAACTTGAAAAAGAATCTGAAAAAAAATCGTTGAGTAAGATCCTGCACGAATCCTGACGAATGCACATAATATACGGCACTAATACCAATTAAAATTCATTTGAAATAAACTAATTAGAGAAGAAAATAATTACACGTTCCACTTGGCGACACGCAACTGACTCAGGTTGCGCACCTTTCCAAAGAGAAACCCCACTTCCGAAAAGTAGAATCCAACATCAATTGGGGATAGAGAAAGGTTGTTTTTATTGTAATGGCAGAAGTGCATGCAGCTGCAGGTAGTGTCGTTTGGAGTTTCTAGGTGGCAGGAGAAGAAAAAAATAACTACACGGAAGTGACCGAGAGACGGTCTATAGTGTACTTCTATACCTCTCAGGCTTTTATAAATAGATGGAGACAAACACAAAGGTGCACTGACGGATTTAAAAATAGGTCCTGTAATTGAATATGCCTAGAAAATTAAAAGGATAGATGTTTTAGCGAAGAGTCTATTGGAAAAACACTCGGCTAATTAAAAGAAAATACATTTTGTTCTAAATATGGGATGCGGATATTTATAAAGAAACTAGGGACGCTTTCATTGGACCAACAGCTCCATGGCGACTAACAAATAAGTTATAGTGTTACTCTGAATAGTTATTTGTTTATATTTTTAATACACGCTATGAGCATTGTCATATATACTAACGTAGTGGAAATTGGATTTCAAAATTATTTCATTGTTTTTGGCTACTATTTACACAAGAAGTAATAATTAAATTCTAGTCTTAGCTAGTAAAGGGTATAGTATACTGGTTACTGGTTTATGTATCGTTACACAGTAGCTAGAGACTATGTTTAGAAATAACTACTCTAAACATATTTGGCATAATTTTAAATCATAATGCCCCGTACCTTAGATTTTTTGAGGTGGCTGGATCTGCCTGATCCACTGCGACCATTTGTAGACCAGATCTATTGTAGTCTCTTCTGATCCTTAGGTTACATTATGTTCCAGTCCTATACTTTTCAAAATATCTAGCAACTTTGAGAGTGAACCCTCCAAATAACTCTCTGTTAATGGCCTATCATTGCCGATTACCGAGAACCACACATTTGTCAAGCTGTCGCACCGACATAAAATATGTTCTGTCGTTTCTTCCTCAGATTGACAGAACCTGCACATTGCTGCGTCCATCAACCTCATTAGTTTTATATGCCTATTCAGCTTACAATGCCCTGTTAGTAAATCCACTACAGCTTTGACTATCTTTTTGTTATGTTCTTTGACTTTATTTCTGTATTCTCTATGTTCTACGATGAACTTTTTGGCCTGCTTTTTTCTCCACCATTCTAGAGATGTACCCAACGTTTTGTGGCCATTCTCCTGACTGCTTTTGCAATGCCACAGAATGGCATTGATGAGCCTTGTTTAGCCATTTTCATCATGCCTTTTCGTTACCCTTGTCATGCCCTGGTAACCAAACTAACGTAACATTGGTACACTCACCCAAAGTATTTAGAGCACACACTACCTCGTGCCTTGCTTTCGAATATATTTGAAAAATACCGATTTTTTCCATTTTGTTATTATTACTTTCTGGCTCTAATTGAAAATACCAATTTCCATACTCCAATTACTACTTTTCTGCTCCACAAGATGGTACCATTAAATTTTAAACCTGACGTTTCAATTCCGAGATATCACCAGCAACTTTTTTATCCAGAGTTTTATTTTATTTCTTTAAAGAGGAACCTGAATTGTTCAAATATTTCCTAAAAAACTTATAACCTCCCAAACACAATACTGTAGCACGTTTTTCGTCCAAAATGTATAATGAAGAATATTCCCATGAGATAATGGATAGCATCCACAGAATCAAAGCCCTCAAATGGCAGGACACCTGGCAAGAAGAACGGACAATAGATTGGAGAAGGACCACAAAAATTACAGTATGGTACCCACAAGGAATTAAGAGACCTAGAAGAAAACCGAACCTGAGATGGGACCATGATATTAGGAAATTAGCAGGGATAACTTGAGCCCGCATAGCCAACAATAGACAACAATGGGCCCAACTACAAAGGGAGTATCTAAATATGTGAGGGAGGCTACACCCTAACTGGACATGGTTGAATAAGCTGAAAATGATGATGAATGATGATAATGATTCCCATAAGAAACAATGTGTTGGAAAGAAATGTCTATACAGATCATTTGTGTGTATAAAAAGACAACCAACAATTGTCGGATAAGTGTGATGCATTTTGAGATCATAAAAATGGTAATAAAATAGAAACAATAATCAATATCAATGATTGATGACAGTATTCAACTTATAAAGCTAAGCAACAACAGTTTCCGGTCTTTTCTAGTGAAACATCTGATTTTACCATTTCTTATGAAACAAATTTAGGAGCAGAAACGTCAAAAACCGTGCATGTTATATACGTATATTTCTAATTATAAAATAGTATGTGTTTCGATATTATATTTTTTTCTCACAACGCTGATCTAAAAAAACTCCAATTTCTTGCCATCTAATGTCTCCAAAAATACGCACAATATTTTTCTATTTTTTACCGCTCAAGAATAGATTTGCAAAACGAGGTTAAACCAACTTTTTAACATCCATTGTTGCAGACTTGTTGCAGACTATTAATCGCCGTCACCAGAAACCGAAGCTGCAAGAAATACGATATTTATGATGCCAAACGGTTGCTACAAATTCGAACTCATTAATTATGTTTATATTTAAAATGGCGAAAACAAATTATGCTTTAACGCTATCTGGCTTTATTTCCGCGTTCAAAATATGGCAGGACAATATGTGCATCATTGATCTAATATTATATTTTTCATCTTAAAATAAAAAAAAAATCTAAATATATAATACAAAACCACCATTAACTAGTAGTATACCTAAGGGTAAAGATTCAGACTATTTTTAAATGAATCTAGACAATAGCATAATAAAAAAAATAATTAAAGGAAATTCTTGGCTTTACAGTAGAAAACAAATGCATTTGTCTTGTTTCTATAATTAGTAATTCAAATAGCTGCATATACTATACAGGGTGGTCCAAACTATATTCCGGAAACTTTGACAGCATATTCTGCAGATAAAAATAAGTAAAAAAGTTCGTATAAATGTATGTCCTAAAATTCTTAGTTTCGGAGACATACGGGGTGTAGAAGTCTCATTTTTATTTCGATTTTTTCCAAATAATTTCTGAAGTCAAGTCGATATTTGGATGAAAATTGGTATCTGGGAGTTTTTTGTCATGAGAAATTTGATTTTGATGTTAATATGACTCCTATTTTTAGAAGGCGCCACCCACAGATTGTTTAACTGGTTTAAAGAGTAATCAATTTTTGCCCGTCCCTGTATTACATTATTGAGTAAAAAATGTACATTTACGACGTTTTGTACGTAAAAGAGACCTTTTTTGGTGAAAATCTCTATGCGCAACCGTTCTCAAGATATTTAGAATGGAAATAGTCAATACATGTCATTATTAACAAAAAATAAACATGTTGAGTAGATAGTATATTGATGATATAACAGATGATAAATTTGGGAATTTTTTTTAAATCCTTATAATATTTTTAAAAAAAATTTTTAAAATTATGATAAGACAGTTTCTGTTGAACTTTTGTTACGAAAACATTTCAAATTTATGATTTTTTGATTTTAGTCTAATAACTATTTAGTTAACATGTTTAATTTATGTCAATGATGACAGGTATTTATAATTTAGATTCCAAATATCTTGAGAACCATTACTCGTAGCGATTTTTACCTAAAGACCTTTTTGACGTAAAAAAACATCGTAATCAAAATAAAAATTAAATTTCTACACCCTGTACCTCCGAAACTAAGCATTTTAGGGCATACATTTATACAAACTTTTTTACTTATTTTAATGTGCAGAATATGCGGTCGAAGTCTCCGGAATACAATTCGGACCACCCTGTATAATGCAAAATCCCTACAGTACATTACATTTATGCAGGGTGTTTTTTAAAACCATGTGCCATCTTTCGCGGGGAGATTCCGCATGTAAAAATAAGATTTATTTTTCTTATCAATGAATTTATGATTTATCATAATTTTCTTCTAAATTCTTTTGGCTATTAGAGTGAAATTTTGATAGTCAAAGTTACTATAAACGCAACATATTTTAATGCTAAAAAAGTGTTGACAGATTCACCAGCGATGTAGATACATATTGGTTATCACTGGAATATTTTTCTAAAAAAACATGTGCGTCACTGGGAGTTTTCTTCTGTTAGCAGAATTGTGTAGACCGTTTAATGCCGATTAAAATTGCCGTTGTCTCTTGATATTTTGTCGATGTCAGTCTCCTTGATAAGATAAACGTAATTTTGTTAATTTGCTTTAATCCAAGTCTAATAGCAATATTTAAAAAAATTTAGTGTCAACTGACCAAAGTGTTCAATATGTACTAATTGTGCGGGTTCAGGGAACACAGCGGCTGACTGACCGCTGGGACTTTTGCTAAGAAGCTGACTGTTTTTGTGTGTAAAAATAGACCGTTTAGGCAACAGGTTAACTCAGCCACACTGAACGCGCCCATTGATTTCTGATCGAAAAATATGAAAAAATGTTCTTATAAACATGGGTGGGTTACCGGATGTAAAAACGTTTAAAAAATAGGTCTTTTGTAATTATCCTAAAGATCATTATTTTTTTGAATTTGAAGTAGATAGGACCGAACATTAGTATTATAAATTTTAATAAAAATTAATATAAAATTAAATTAAATAAATAGTTTATTAATTTTATTTTAATTTTATTAATTATTGTCATTAATAAAATTGCGTTTATCTCATCAAGGAGATCGAAATCGACAAAATATCATGATACAATTTTCGACATTAAACAGCCTACACAATTTTACAAACAAGAGAAAAGAAAGTCAGTGGCGCACATATTTTTTCTTAGAAAAATATTACAGTGATAACCCATATGCACGTCTCTAGTGAATATGGCAACACTTTTTTAGCATTAAAATATGTTTCACTTATAGTAAGTTTTACCCTCAAAATTTTTAATTCTAATTATTAAAAGCATTTAGAGGCAACTATAATAAATGAAGATTTTAACTCCCTGTAGCAACGAAACGAAGCAGAATCGGACTCATGTTGATATGAGAAATAAA